TTTTAGTGGTAAAAGTTTTTTTTTTTTTTTTTAATTTTTCTAATGAAGTCTCTCGTGTGAGCTACTATTAATTACTTTATTAAGAATTTAATAATTTTAATTTAATTTTTAATTAAATAATTAAATAAAAAAATTTGTTTCTCTTATGTTTTAATTTATGTTTTAATAAATACATGTTTAGTTAACTATAAATATATTATTTTATAATTAATTTTTTTATAATTTATATAAAAAATTATGAAAATTAATTTTTATTTAAATATTATTTCATACGTGAATAGTTTTAATTAAATGATTAATTAAATTTAATTTAATATTCTCTTAAAATAATAAATATACTCTTAAAATATAAAAATAAAAAATAAAAATAAAAATACTTAATAAAAATTATACAGTATATAATTTTTTTTTTTTCAAATTTTGTTCATATATAAGTGAAAAAAAAGTGTTAAAAGTTGAATGGAGGTAGTAATTAATTAAAAATGCTTGATATCTGTAGTAGATTTTGATTTTGTTGAATCCCTGAGAAAGCTAGTAGACGTTGAATCGAAGAAACCGTTATGCTGTTCCTCTTTATCTTCTCCTTCTCTACCGTTTCACAGAGGGAACCAGAGAGACTTTGAAAGTTTTCCAAAAGGTGAAAAAAATGGCTGCCGAGCTATCTTGTTCCCTTCTCAGCCGTGCCATTATCGGTTTCAGCTGCGATAACATGGATTGTGATAACCGGAAGCGGTTGAATGTGCGGTTGTCCTTCTTGCCTTCTCATCGTTTGCTTCCGGCCTCGTGTAAAATGCGGCAGCGAAATCTCAGGTTTGTCGGTGTTTCTCAAATCTGAATAAGTAGGTATTTGTTAATGCTTCCGGTCAGGTTGTGATGCTGTTTTTAATCTGTTCTTGTCGACGATTACGATCGATTTTGGAGAATTTTAAATTGAAGAGAACTTCATTTGATGTGATTTAAGAAATGAAGATTGTATTTGCTGCCTTTTTAATTGAATTAGGTATTTGAGTAATTGAATAGGTCATCAGAGTGAATTTTCATTCTCGATTTTTTGGTTTATGCTTCAGAATTAAATGCAGGAAATAGTGTTAGATTAAACTTGGCTAATGAAAGATAGCTCAAGCTCTTGACAGAGGTAGTGAAATATGCTTGTCTTCATCAAACTTGATCATGTGGATTGTGCTGCGTTTCTATTGTTTTTAAGATTGATTATCTGTCTAAAAACGCAACAAAGGCCTCTCATTTTAGGGTTCTCTTGAAATTTATGCAGTTCTCAGCACAAGAGACAACATGTGAAGAAAGCGTCTCCTGATCAGATACCAACAACTGGAGATCAACTGAATAGTGATGAGGACTCTGAACCCGAAAATTCCATTCCAGAAAGTGTCTCAAGTTTGGATCATGAAACTATGCATGAAGATAAGGTTGATACTAGTAGTGTAGGTGCAGAACTTGATAATGTTCAGAAGTTGAGCAGTCTAGCTGTGCCTTCTGTTGACTCTAGTATATATGCCAATCATGTGGATGAACAGAATATGGGCAGTACGGTTGTTCCTACCACTGAAAGCAAGATAAATGGGGAGCGGATTGATGAACAGAGTTTGAGCACTCTAATTGTGCCTGCTGTAACAAATTCCTTGGTACTTTCATTTTTTAAGATGCATAAAGTGAACCTCAGAACATATTTAATACTTAATATTTAGTTGTGTATAAATTTTGATTTGTTTTTGGTTGGTGTGTGATAAGAATGATAACAAATGAGTAGATCAAGTGAGAAAAATGGCATTATTTAATTATTGAATTCCGTCTATATTTGCATCTTGTGTGGAGAAGACTATGCATAACTATCAGTTATTCAGGTTGTTGTAAAGACTGACATCTCTATTGAAGTTTGTGACTAAAAAAAATTGGAATTTTAAATTAGGAAAGATGTCATTATGGGTTTTCTTTTTGCGATAAATTTGCATTCTTCGTTGTTCATTTGTGAATTCCTGTATTAGAAGATACAAATGCCTGTTTAAATGCATTGAATTATTTGAATATGCTTCTTTTTTGTTAAAATACTTTGCCATTTGAATTAAAAAAAAAAAAAAAATTGACATAGGTATGGATAAAGTTTTTGACCCTTCCCAGTTATGTCTTAAAATGATGAAATATTGAATATCAGCATTGAAAACTAAATCAAGTTTTTTCTCTGTGCAGGCAATAAATGGAGATAGTGGAGAGCAGCTTTCAGGTGTTCAACTTGAAGATTTGATAGGCATGATAAAGAATGCAGAGAGAAGTAGGATACTTTACTCTCGAACTCTTGGATTCATTTTACATAGTGATTAGTTATTTAGTTTGGTTCACTACTTTTTACTATTTCATGAAGATATGCATGTGTATTTATCCTTTCTAAACTGTCAGATATCCTCCTCCTCAACCAAGCTCGGGTTCATGCACTTGAAGATCTTCACAAGATTCTTGGTGAGAAGAAAGCATTACAAGGAGAAATTAACATTTTGGAAATGAGATTGGCAGAAGCTGATGCACGGATTAAAGTTGCTTCCCAAGAGAAGATACATGTAGAACTCCTGGAAGATCAGTTGGAGAAGTTGCATAATGAACTGATTCACAGGGGCAGTTCAGCAAGAACTGAGCTTGAAACACTTGAGAATCAAACATTTTCTAATGAGGAAGCAATTATGGCACATGATGGTCATGTTCATACTCTTAGCAAGGAGGTTGGAACATTGAGGATGGAGAACCTGGCCCTCAAGAATGATATACAAGTGCTTAAGACTCTGCTGGGCAATGTCAAGAATACTGATGACCGCATAGTAATATTGGAAAAGGAGCGCTCTTTTTTGGAGTATTCTCTGAAAGATTTGGAGTCAAAACTGTCAGTTTCTCGGGAAGATGTCTCAAACCTTTCCAATCTTAAAAGTGAATGCAAGGACTTATGGGAAAAGGTAGAAAATTTGCAACTTCTGTTGGATAAGGCTACTAAACAAGCAGATCAAGCTATTTTAGTGTTACAACAAAACCAGGAGCTGCGAAAGAAGGTTGATAAATTGGAAGAGTCTCTTGGAGAGGCTAATGTTTATAAATTATCATCTGAGAAAATGCAACACTATAGCGAACTTATGCAGCAAAAGATTAAGCTGTTGGAGGAGCGTCTTCAAAAATCTGATGATGATATACTTTCATATGTCCAATTATATCAAGAATCTATAAAAGAGTTTCAAGAAACACTTGATAGTTTGAAAGAAGAAAGCAAGAAAAGGGCATTAGATGAACCTGTGGATAATATGCCTTGGGAATTTTGGAGCCGTTTGTTGCTTTTTATTGATGGTTGGCTGCTTGAAGATAAAATATCAACCAGTGATGCAGAGATGTTGAGAAAAATGGTGTGGAAGAGAAACCGACGCATTTATGAGGCATACATGGCATGCAAGGAAAAGAATGAGCGTGAAACTATATCTACGTTTCTCAGCATGACGTCATCTCGAACTAGGTATTGTGTCTTAACTAACAATTTCTTATTGAATTTCTACTGTTATTTGACTTGTCTCTTTATTTGATCTTTAGTCCAGGATTGCATATCATTCATATTGCAGCTGAGATGGCACCTGTTGCTAAGGTGAGATTTCATGTTGGTTTTTTACTTTCTGGGAATCAGTCAGAAAAATCTACTTGACTTGTCTTTTGTTAAGATTTCCCTATCTTTCTACTTAATATCTCTCTCTCACACACAGTAGGGTTTAAGTTTTTGCTTCCTTTATTGAATTTATTAGTTTTGTTTTTTCAATCAGGTTGGTGGTTTGGGAGATGTTGTGACTGGTCTTGGTAAAGCACTGCAGAAGAGGGGACACCTTGTAGAGATCATTCTTCCCAAATATGATTGCATGCAATATGATCGTATTCAAGACTTAAGGGTCTGTTGATGGTTTGAAGAATGGAGTTAGTTACAATAATGGATCATAGGTCTAAAGCATGTTCATAATGATTTAACTTGCTTTTACAGGCCCTTGATACAATCGTGGAGTCATATTTTGATGGAAAACTATTTGAAAATAAAGTTTGGGTGGGCACAGTTGAAGGTTTGATATATAATTTACTTTTGTTTCAGTTCCATGGTATATATAATAGGTTTGATTCTGATTGCAACTTTGACTTTGCAGGTCTTCCTGTTTATTTTATTGAGCCTCATCATCCAGGGAAGTTCTTTTGGAGAGGTCAATTTTATGGAGAGCATGATGATTTCAAACGTTTTTCATTTTTTAGTCGTGCAGCACTGCAGTTGCTTCTCCAAGCTGACAAGAAACCAGACATAATTCATTGCCATGATTGGCAGACAGCTTTTGTTGTATGCTCTCTGCAGATACTGTGTTTTAGATGCTTAATTTGTTGTTTTACTAGAATGATGTGCTTCTTGTTGCATTTTTAGGCACCACTTTATTGGGATCTGTATGCTCCAAAAGGTTTAAATTCAGCTCGAGTATGTTTTACATGTCACAACTTTGAGTACCAGGGGACAGCACCTGCTTCAGAATTGGCATCATGTGGTCTGGATGTCTACCAGTTAAATAGACCTGATAGAATGCAGGATAACTCAGCACTTGATAGGGTCAATCCAGTGAAGGTACTAATTATTAGATCAACTATAAATAATAATAATAATAATAATAATAAATAAATAAATAAATAAATAAAACACTATTCTTCTATTCTTTCTACTATTTTCTCATTTTTCTGCATTTCAGGGTGCAATTGTATTCTCAAATGTTGTGACAACAGTGTCACCCACTTATGCACAAGAGGTCCGAACTGCTGAGGTATGCATTTTACCTGGTTGTATCTCAGCAAACTTCTCTGTTTTTAAAGTTATTATATAATTACAGTTCCAATCCTCAAATTTGCAAAGGCTATTTCTTTTCTCCATTGTTCATTATGAGAAATAGGAAGGAATTCTTTATAGATGGGAAAGTATAAGAGAAGGAATTTATGAGAAAATTGTAAAGATTAGGGAATGCAGCACTGCTAATGTAATTTTAAGATTCTTTGAGGTAATTTTTGTACACTAAAATTTGAATTTCATAATTTTCTAAATTTTGAAATTGCCTTTATATCCAATTTTTTGGGAACTAATATCCTGTAGATGGTTTTGAAACAAGTTTTTATAGTTAGAGGTATAGAGTAATAGTTGGTGAAAATTGTTGAAAGGTCTATCTCATCTATTGCAATCCATTGTTGATATTTTTTTTTAAATATATATATATATATATTTTGAAGTGGAAGCTTGCTCTATTACAATCCATAAATTGGTTATTGTTTTTTTTTGGCCAACATGAAGTCCTTGTTATATTTAGTTCATGGAATTGTACATGTTTCAGTGTATGCATATTTTCATATAGACATGGAAACACTGCAGATTACTATATAGTTTTTTGTTTTTTAACAGGGAGGAAGAGGCCTTCATTCAACACTTAATTTTCACTCAAAGAAGTTTTTTGGAATCCTAAATGGAATTGATGCTGATGCATGGAATCCTGCTAGTGATAGTTTTCTCGAAGTGCAGTACAGTGCTAATGATCTGCAAGGGAAAGCAGAGAATAAATCAGCCATAAGAAGGCGTTTAGGACTTTCATCTACAGATGACAGACAGCCATTGGTAATTATTTCTGAAGTAGTTCATTACCTAGCATCACAATTCAAGAGATTGTCTGTCACTTAAATTATTCATTAGTTACTTTGGTTGACTCTCCCACCAGACCTCACAATATTTTTGCACCTTAATAATCTTATCAGTTTATTCATAAAATGCACTTTCTTTCACATAAACCTGAGTAACAATATCTGATCTTAACGCTCATTTTTCTGATCTTAAGTTAAAGAAAAACACTTCCAAGTTGTGGTATTGTCATTGTTGGTCTTCAGGTTGCTAGTTTAATCAGAAGTTCTAACTTGATGGTAAATTAAGCCATCTATGTTAAGAGTATATTAGTATCTTTTCGCAGCTGAAACCTTTGAGGATAGAGCATAAATTCTATTATTTGCATTCTATTATTGATGGCCACAGGCCTAGTTCCAGGCTGGAACCAGTAGTCCTGGTTTTTCAAAACTGAGGACCGTATTTGTGGGCCAGGGTGGTTTTGGTCTGGGCCTAATCAGTTAGTGGACTAAAGTATAATGGATCTGGAAATCGAGCCAGTCCATACCAGTCTATGACCAGTTCCAAGACTAGTTTCAGTTTCAGTGTGTTCCCCATTCTGATTTCGTCAACCCAGCCTGTGACTAGTCACATGTTGGTTCCAGTTCCATTGTCGTTGACCAGGTCAATACTGGCCCTGTGGCCATCATTACATTCTACATCCAAAGTTCATTTGGGTTCCCTTGACATAAAATCATCAACAATTACTACTGTTTACTAGAGTTCTAACATCTTTTGTTGAGCAGGTAGGCTGCATAACAAGATTGGTTCCACAGAAGGGAATGCATCTTATTAGACATGCCATTTATCGAACATTGGAGCTGGGTGGTCAATTTGTACTTCTTGGTTCAAGCCCAGTTGCACATATCCAGGTAACTTTCAATTGTTGTCTTGTGACTCTTGTCTGTGTAGATGAAACAATGGAGGGAAATGAGGATTTTAGGTTTTCCAATTGAACTCTATGTTTATGCTGGGTGATTCAGTTTTCTCCCCTTTTATAAGATTCTGTTTGATTTACTTGTTTGATATTTTCTTGTTTACTAACATCATATTTGCATAGGCATCAATTAAAGGCTGTTTCAGACATATCATTGTACTGTTGGGAAACTTCTCTTTCTATCAATATGGACAGGAAATTTTATTCCACTTTAAAGTTGTTAAAGTGACTCCCAATCCCAAAGTCAAGGAATCTAGTTCTGCCTTGTGCAGCATCAGTATTATGTTGAAAATGGATTAAACCAAGAAAAAAAAAGAAGGAAGCAAAAAGCACCATTCAGGCTTCAGTGTTCATTCTTTAGATCAATTTGCCACGTGCTGTACTTTATAATGGAAAAATATGTGCTCTAATTCCCTTTTTTTTTGTTGTTGTTGTTGTTGTTGGGGGGTTGTGGGGGGAGGAGAGAAAGGTGGATTAATGTGGACTTTGGAATTGAATAAGAATTTCCTAAATTTACTTTTGCCTCTGGCAACTGGTGATAAATAAATATTTTGTTTGGCTACTATTTTCAGAAGCTAAACCCTTTTCTAGTTTTCTTTGCTGTTGTTTTATCTGTTTATCAGAGTTCTTACTTTGTATGTTTGTCTATTCAATGTTTTACAGAGGGAATTTGAGGGTATTGCACACCAGTTTCAGAACCATAATCACATTCGGCTGATATTGAAATATGATGAGTCTCTTTCACATTCCATTTATGCAGCATCTGACATGTTTATCATCCCATCTATTTTTGAGCCATGTGGACTTACGCAGGTAACTATCAGAGTAGATTACTCAATTTAAGTAACAATATGGGAAGATAGTTGTGTAGCAATAGTTGTAGGCAAGCTCCCCACGCCATAGAGCAACTGGTTGCTCATAAACTGTTAGTCCTCCAGACCCAGCTCCCCTTTCCCATTCCCCTTCCCCCTTAGGTTAGTATAATAATTGTCTTTGTCAAAAATGGAGAAATACTTGTAGCCTTGTAGCCACTGGATGAACCTTTCCCTTTGCATTATGTATCTCAGGTACAAAATCCTATTGGCATGATTCATCTCTTTGGAATTGTAGGATGTAGTCATTAGGTAATTGCTGGCAATAACACTAATATGTAGTTGTAAGTTTCAAATCCTAATATCATACATACTTGAGCCTCTTTTTAAACATATTCCCTTTCCTTTTGAATTTTTCGCAGATGATAGCAATGAGATATGGTTCCATACCAATTGCAAGGAAAACTGGTGGTCTCAATGACAGGTGAAGTCCTTTTGCCTGTTTTACACATCTAATGACCACACTAATTTGACATTACTAAGGCTGGCAAATCATATGCTCAAACTTAAAATGTTTTCTTGTGTAGTGTATTTGATGTTGATGATGACACAATACCTCTTCAGTTTCGTAATGGATATACCTTCGTGACTCCTGATGAGAAGGTAAGTTGAGCAGAATGCTGAAACATCTCTACCTACATTCATATCTTTTTGCACCCATGCTCTAGCCATAGACCTGATAGTTGAAAGAAACTGTCACTCCATCCCTTCCTATGTTTCTATTGTCTCTGTATCATTCTCATGGATTTGGGGGTACCGTGTAAAAATTTACAGGGTGTAAACAGTGCCTTGGAACGAGCATTTGATCACTACCACAACAACAACGAGAGTTGGCAACAGCTTGTTCGCAAGGACATGAATATGGATTTCAGTTGGGAGTCTTCAGCATCACAATATGAGGAACTCTATGCAAAATCCGTTGCAAGAGCAAGGGCGACAGCAAGTCGTGCTTGAGATTAAGCATACCTAGAACATACTTTTCCTTGCAAACCTGGACCGGTTTGAGTGCAGATTTTGGCTTTTAAGAGAGATTACTCATCTACTGAAGTTGGTGATCCTACATGCATAAGCTGCATTACAGAATGCTTTGATCACACACCTATAGATCTTTTTTTTTTTTTTTTTTTTTTTTTCTGAACAGGTATAAATTTGGAGGAGGGAGATTTGAATACAGCCCCTAAGCCTGGGGATGCAGCTTATAGCCAATTGGCTTAGAAGGCCAGGTGCCTATAGATCTATTTATAACGCTTCTTGTACATTAGGTTTATATTTTGTTTCAGAATGATTTTACGGTATAGAACTAGGCAACTAGCATGATGCGGCCATTCGCAGATTTCTTTATGCTTACAGGGTCTTATAATTGGTTCAGAAGTGTAACATAAGTTGAACATATATATATATTTTTTAAATTTTAATCTTATACATAAATAAGAAAGGGCGTCTGTTATTGAATTTGATTAATTTTGTGTTTAAGTAGCATCGCATCTTTTAGCTCTTTCGGTGAGGAACGCATAATTCACATAATGCTCAATTGCTCATTGATTTGAGACAAATTTACCTGAAAACAACAGAGGAAAAGTAAGACTCAATCCTTGAGCTCTCACTTTCCGGGGACAAAGTTAGTGGCATAAGCCCAGGCATTGTTGTTGACGGGGTCGGCAAGGTGGTCGGCGAGGTTCTCCAATGGTCCCTTTCCAGTCACGATGGCCTGAACATAGAATCCAAACATAGAGAACATGGCCAATCTGCCGTTCTTGATCTCCTTCACCTTCAACTCGGCAAATGCCTCTGGGTCATCGGCCAGGCCCAACGGGTCAAAGCTACCACCGGGGTACAATGGGTCAGTCACTTCCCCGAGAGGCCCACCTGCAATTCGATAACCCTCAACTGCCCCCATCAGGATGACCTGTGAGGCCCAGATGGCCAAGATGCTTTGGGCGTGGATCAAGTTTGGGTTGCCCAAGTAGTCAAGCCCACCTGGGCTGAAGATTTGGGCTCCAGCCTTGAACCAGACTGCCTCACCAAACTTAACGCCGTTACGGGCCAGAAGCTCGGGGAACACACACCCAAGGGCTCCCAACATGGCCCATCTTGCATGGATCACCTCGAGCTCACGGTTCCTAGCAAAGGTCTCTGGGTCGGCAGAGAGCCCAGCAGTGTCCCAGCCATAGTCACCCGGGAACTCACCAGTCAAGTAGCTTGGGGGCTCGCCGGAGAATGGTCCCAAGTACTTAACTCTGTCTGGACCGTACCATGGGCTACCAGAAGGACCTGGCCTGCCGACGCCTCTACGCATGGTAACACGGCTGCGGCCGAGGAGCTCGGAGGAGGAGGGAGCGCGTTTCACCGCCTTGCCGGCAAATGAAGGGGAGGAGAGAGCCATAGTTGAGGCAGCCATTGTTGTAGTGAAAAGAAAAGCAACGAAATTAAGCAAATTTGATGAATTTGGGTGGTTGGACAAGAATGGGGTCTGTGTTAATATACGGGATATAGCAGAAAGGGTCCTTATCCAATGAGATCCATATCTTAATTCTCATTGGTGTATGACATTTTGGAAGTCTGGTTTGGAGTCCTCGTGGCACTCCCAAGACCACTTATTCAAAGTCCATGAAGCAATTATAATGCTTCAAAAATCTTCAGGGATGGCTTCTTCCTTTTCTGTTTATCTGATCTGATTTATCTCCAATGAGGATAATCCATATAAGCTATCGGATAGCCACCAAATCCTAATATCTGCTTGGTAGATTTTGTTTGGCGTTATGGTGAAAAGTAAAAGCAAATATATTCCCCGACAAGACATTCTTGCCCTAGAGACATCACGTTGGTGTCTCTAGTACAATTATTCTTTGCTTACAACTTTAAACTTGCAAGATTTTCACACGAAAATCTTAACCCATGTTTTGGTATTTTGATTCAAACTAAATATTGAAACAAAATCATGGTTAATATATCCCATAGTTGAGTCTGAAAGCTTCCTTTGTTTCACAAAAAGCAGTGAATTGAAATGATATCTAAAATAGTAACATTTTTTCTTCATTTGTCACCAGTATATTTTCCTTTATCTTTTTAGAAAGTTAAATTAAGAGTGATGATAATTTCGTAAATTATTTAAAATTTAAGGGCATTTTGGTTAATTGAAATGATTCGTCTTTTAATAATTTCAAGAAAATTTGTAGAGTATTTTTGTTTGTAAATAGTATACACCCCTAATAGACAAAATATATAGAAATTAATGAGATTAAATTCATCATTAAATCCTTAAACTTGTAAGATTGTAATTTTTAAGTTCTTAAATTAAAAATTTTGAGAAATTAAAATTTTGAGCAATTAAGTTTAAATTTTTTAGTGACATCTCTTCTTCTTTTTTTTTATCAATTTTTTTGATAACATGATAATAACTGAAATTTGAAATACATAGTACCCTAATAGATTGGTATTTTTTTATTTTAATTTGAAAATTGTTTAGTTTAATTTAATTTCAAAATTTACAAGATCTTGATTATCTCATATATTATGAAAAATTAAGTATATAAAATTATAGATAAACTTGACTTTAAAAATATAAAATACATGTTAAAAATTAGACATTACAAGAAGTTACAAAATAAAGATAGATGAAGTGAATTTAGGTAGTTATAGACATTGAAGAGTTGCTTTCATATTAGCAAAAATCAATCAATACTTATTTTGTATAAATTACAAAGAAATTTGATAGCGAAAAATGACGTTTTGTACATATTATTATATTATAGATAAATAATACTTCTTATTTTCTTTTTCTTAAAAACTTAATATATTATCAACAGCTTGCGATGCATAATAGAAAATGCTAGTTAATTATTAAATGAGAACACTTTCAATCGCTCAAATGGACATCAATTTTTCAGTTTTTTCAACCATTAGCAAATATTTTCACATGATTTCATCTTCAGCATACCAGCATCTCAAATTATTCCTTGAGAAATTGTCAATTTGCTATGAGATTGTTTTCTTCCTAGTATAAAAAACGAAAATGGTGTACTTATACTATTGTATGATATTATAAATTTATAATATGATATATTATATAATTAATATTTTTATATAAATTTATTTATAATATTATATATATTTATTTAATAACATATTATATTTATTTAAATTATATTATAATTATAAATTTATAATATTATATAATATTATAACTATAATATACCAATATTGCCATAGAAAAAATTATAAAGCAGAAAGTAGGTGTCAAAAAAAAGACAGGTTCCATGCAAAATCAAAGTTCTTTATCCTAAAGCTATGTCATATTAAAAATTCAAATTAGGAATCTCTGCGGGATGTAGTGATATTGGAAATCTAAACGTGGAAAAACCCCATTGGCTAAGCAGAAAGTCGAATGAATCTAAAGATTTTAGTGGATTAAAGCATGCCAAGTAAGCCTACAGAGACAGCAACAAAATCTTCTGTCTCCAATGAAATGTGAGGATTAGATACTGCATAGATAAGCTTAGCTCTTTCCAATTTTGGGTTTTTTTCCTTATAAAATCCCACAGAACCATTTCCTTTTCCTGACCAAAGAAACTATTACTCAGAAATATCTTTCACTACAAAAATGGCTGCCTCAACTATGGCTCTTTCCTCCCCTTCATTTGCCGGCAAGGCGGTGAAACTCGCTCCCTCCTCCTCCGAGCTCCTCGGCCGCAGCCGAGTCACCATGCGTAGAGGCGTCGGCAGGCCAGGTCCTTCTGGTAGCCCATGGTACGGTCCAGACAGAGTTAAGTACTTGGGTCCATTCTCCGGCGAGCCCCCAAAATACTTGACTGGTGAGTTCCCCGGTGACTATGGCTGGGACACTGCTGGGCTCTCTGCCGACCCAGAGACCTTTGCTAGGAACCGTGAGCTGGAGGTGATCCATGCAAGATGGGCCATGTTGGGAGCCCTTGGGTGTGTGTTCCCCGAGCTTCTGGCCCGCAACGGAGTTAAGTTCGGTGAGGCAATCTGGTTCAAGGCTGGAGCCCAAATATTCAGCCCTGGTGGGCTTGACTACCTGGGCAACCCAAGCTTGATCCACGCCCAAAGCATCTTGGCCATCTGGGCCTCACAGGTCATCCTGATGGGGGCAGTTGAGGGCTACCGAGTCGCAGGTGGGCCTCTCGGGGAAGTGACTGACCCATTGTACCCTGGTGGTAGCTTTGACCCGTTGGGCCTGGCCGATGACCCAGAGGCATTTGCTGAGTTGAAGGTGAAGGAGATCAAGAACGGCAGATTGGCCATGTTCTCTATGTTTGGATTCTACGTTCAGGCCATCGTGACTGGAAAGGGACCAATTGAGAACCTCGCCGACCACCTTGCCGACCCCGTCAACAACAATGCCTGGGCTTATGCCACAAACTTTGTCCCCGGAAAGTGAGAGCATAAGAGATTAAGTCATGTTTCTATTGTTGTTTTCGTTTTCATGTAATTTTATTGCAAATTAATGAAAGCATTATGTGAATTATGTGTGCCAAAAATTGGTATGCCTAGGTGGGATTGTGAGCATCCCACATGGGATTTCGATTAACACAACACACTCATCCACTGTCCCGGAATTGTGTATGCTAAAAATGCATCTTATTTCACATTCCTCATCTAAAATGCATCTTGTTTCTTTTTTACTGACCCAAGTAAGTCTCCTTAACAATGCTCACCGAGGAATTTCATGAGCCATTTTTAACATTTCCACGGTAAAATTACACTTCCTCTATTTGCATCATTGTTTGCATGCTTTTGTAATTGCTCTTTCGAGAGCGGCATTCAAGCTTCAAACTCTTCCCCATGTTTCTTCTAACTCTTTTTTTTTTTTTCCTTTTTTTTTTTACGCACATTGATAAACCAATGCATTCTTTGATTTAACACTACGTAACATATTTATTAAAAATTATTATTTTAATGCAAAATTAAAAATAAATAAATTTAAAAATGTAATCATATATATAATGCAGAAATTAACTGAATTAATTATATTTATATTATATTTTAATAACAAAATCAAAATAAGTGTTAAATTGAATATATACGAATCATTTTTGTTTACATTAATTAATACTAATTATACTCCTTTCACTTATACTAAAGAGTATAAATTAGATCAGTTTATGTTTAGCAATTTTGTGTTGGCACTAGCAATTTTCACTTGTACGAAGAAGTTACCAATTAAAGAGCCAGAAATGTGCAAATGAAGATGTCAACTTTGCACTTTTTTCTTTTTTTTTTTTTATTTAAGGATGTTAATTTTGTTAGTTTCTAAATAAGGATGTTAACTTTTAATTTTTTCTATTTAAAATGTCAACTTTCAACTTTTTCTATTTAAGGATTAATTGGTGGTGATGTTGACATGGCTAACATATTTTTTTAGGTTGAATACCTGAATAGGTCCAACAACTTTTATTTTTGAACCAATTCATCCTTGAACTTCGTAAAGTACCAAAAATGTCCTTCAACTTCAATTTTCAAGCGTTTCAGCACCAATTTTGTCTTTCCATCAGTTAAGTGCTGATATAGCTAATTTTTTGGCTAAGTGATTGACTATTTTACATTTTCAATATTAGGTGGAAAATCCATCATGTAAAAGATGATTATGTGAATTTTTTTAATTTTAAATAATTTAAAAACTATTTTAATTCTTAATTTTACTTTATTTATATTTAAAAATTAAAACATTTAATATATTTTCCCATTTAATTAGTCCCACCTACCATAAGTAATTCTTAATTTATAAAGAAATAAATTAACTCTCATTTAATTTTATTAAATCAAATATCACCTACTATAATTATTTCATAATTCATGGAAGAATTAACTAAATTTTATTTAATTTTATTAAATGGAATTAAAATAAAATTAAAATAATTTTTTGGTTCTTCTTCCTCGACCTTTTTTTTTGTTTAAATTATTAAAATAAATTGTAATTATTTCCTAATTGATTCTTCCATGATTAAATTCCATTTAATAAAACTAAATAAAAGTTAATTGATTCCTCCATGAATTAGGAAATAATTATGGTAAGTGAGATTTGATTTAATAAAATTAAATAAGAGTTAATTTATTTCTTTATAAATTAAGAGTTACTTATAGTAGGTGGGACTGATTAAATGAGAAAATATATTAATTGTTTTAATTTTTAAATATAAATAAAGTAAAATTAAGAATTAAAGTAGCTGTTAAATTATTTAAAATTAAAAAAATCCACATAGGTTTCTCACCTAGTATCTGGGATTTCGCCCCGATTAATCCGGACCGACTCGCGTCGCACACTTGAAAATGGTAGGTGAGTCTCTTAACGGAGGCTGCTGCGTACACAAAGTCTCGAACTCGAGACCTTACTTAAGTTGGAACAAGCCGCTTACCATTTGATCCAATCCTTCGTTGGTCACATAATCATCTTTTCCATGATGGATTTTTCACCTAATATTGAAAATGTAAAATAGTTAATCACTTAATAGAAAAATTAGCTATATCAGCACTTAACTGATGGAAAGACAAAATTGGTGCTGAAAATTGAGGTTGAAGGACGTTTTCAGTACTTTTTGAAGTTCAAGGATGGATTGGTTCAAAAATAAAAGCTGAGGGGCCAATTCAGGTATTTAACCTAAAAAAATACATTAGCCATATCAGCATCATCACCCAAGTAATCTTTAAATAGAAAAAAAATTAAAAGTTAATATCCTTAAATAAAAAAATTTTGAAAGTTAATATCTTTATTTAAAAAAAATTGAAAGTTGATATCCTTATTTATAAACTGACGAAATTAATATCCTTAAATAAAAAAAATACAAAATTAACATCTTTATTTGCACATTTACTCATTCCTTTTTTCCTTCTTTTCTTTTCTAATACAATGAGCTTCTCTTCTTTAAAATAATGAG